TCAGGTGGATCGGAAGTCCCTTCCAGCTGACAGCCACCATCCCAGAAGCACACCGCTTCTGCCTGCATGGTGCCTCTGAGCTTGATCTCACTAAGGTTGGTGGTGGCTATTTAATTGCCAGATCTAGTGGGTACACCAGTCACCCTCCCCTTTACTTTTCGAAATCTTTGAACACCACAGATTAGCGTTTTCTTTTAGAAAGCATTGTTGTCTGAGGTTTCTGTCCTTTCGGGTTCCTGCAATCGTTAGGTCCCAAAGAAATCACACAGAGGTCTACATTAATCGTAAACTGATTGGCCCATTAGCTCAGGCTTCTTTTTAACTCTTATAACTTATATTAGCCCATTATTCTTATCTGTGTTAGCCACATGGCTCGGTACCTTTTTCAGCGGGGCAGGTCACATCTTCCTTCTTCTGTGTCTGGGCAGGATTCCAGAGGGAGTGTCCCTCTTCCCAGAATTCTCCTGTTCTCATTGACCCACCTCTACTTCCTGTCTGGTTGTCCCACCTAAACTTCCTGCCTGGCTACTGGCCAATTAGCATTCATTTAAAACATAATTGACAGAATATAGACAATTGTCCTACACCAAAGCATCAAAGAGACTTATTCCTATTATCAGGTAAGCTAAAAATCCCTGCAAATAGAAAATATATCCCACAGTGACTTCGTTAGATAAACTCTAGAAATGGGGGCAGTTCCAGGTTTATTCAGAAGCTCAATGACCCACTCATTCTACTGTTCTTATTATCCCCCAAATGCTCTCTCTATTGCTCCTCATGGCAGCTATAGGCTCGCGTCTGAATTCCTTTCTCTCAGAAAGTGGACAGATGCAGGACAAAAAGACTTTTTCTTCCGGGAAGTAGTGGCACAAGCCTTTAATACCAGCACTTGGGAGGCAGAGGCAGGCTGATCTCTATGAGTTTGAGGCCAGCCTGGTCTACAGAGGGAGTTTCAGGATTGGCTCCATAGCTACTGTGAAACCGTGTCTCAAAAAAGGTGTATATATAAAATATAAGAAAGTGTATGTATAAAATAAAAAAGTGTATATATAAAAATAAAGTGTGTATATATATACACTTTAAATGTATATTTTATGTATATATAAATATACACAGATATGTATTATATATACATATAAATATACAGACTTTAAATATATACACATACACGGACTTTTTCCTCTCAAAGTGGTTTATTTTTTGACACAGGGTTTCATTTTGTAGCCTGTACTAACTTGATAATCACTATATAGATCAGGCTAGCCTCAATCCTGTAGTGATTCTCCTGCCTCTGCCTTCTGAATGCCAGGATTATGGATATATACCACCAGGCATGGCCAGTGCTCCACGCAGGGTCTCACTGTGTAGTTCTGGCTGTCCTAGAACTTGATATGTGGACCATGCTGGTCTCCAACTAACATATATTTGACTGCCCCTGTTTTCTGAGTGCTGAGATTAAAAACATGCACTACCATACCCAGTTTTGACCAGTGCTATCTTTTCAGGCGAAAAAAAAAAATCTTCTCCAGGCCAGAGGTGGATCTTATACCCACATTCAGATTTAACTTAGTCTCTGAATTATATGGGGGAACTTGACTTGTCTTCCTTAAAAATCAAACGATCAGCCTGGTGGTGGTAGCACACTTTTAATCCCAGCACTTAGGAGGCAGGTGTGGGTGAACTCTGTGAGTTCAACACCAGCCTGGTCTACAAGAGCAAGTTTCAGGACAGGCTCCAATAGAGAAACCCTGTCCTGAAAAACCAAAACCCAACAAACATCAAAGGATCTTCTACCTTGCAGTTCAGGGATTAGACTGCTAGGAAAGTGCTTTTGGTTCAGAGGCTGGATTTTCCCCTTTAAAACAGTATTTCTTTCCCTGAGCACGTAGGCTCAGCTGTAACACCTTTCACATTAACAGCATCCATACCCTAGAGTTCCCACCACTGAATATGTGCAGAATAGATGTGTCTGTTCATTGCACACAGGCCTGGCCTACAAAATCTTCCCACACTGGCCTGGAGAGATGGCTCAGAGGTTAAAAGCACTTGTTGCTTTTCCAGAAGACCTGGGTTCTGGTCTCAGCACTCACATGGTGGCTCACAGCCATGTAACTGCAGTTCTAGGGGATCTAACATGTTCTGACTTCTGAGGCCATGTGGTGCACACATATACACCCAGGAAAAAAGCACAGGCATAAAATTAAATTGGGGGGCGGGGAGACAGGATTTCATTGTGTAGCTCTGGCTGTTCTGGAGCTCACTGGTGTAGACCAGGCTGGTCTCAACTCACAGAAATAATTTGCTCTGCTTCCTGAGTGCTGGGTTTAAAGACTTGGACTACCACATGCAGTTCCAAAGGAATCTTTTTTTTTTTTTTAAATTAAATCCTTACAATCCACATTCTTCCTTTCCTTTTTTGTGCTCAGATAAAGGATTAGGTGGAGAAATGAAAGGCTCTAAAAATAACAAAGATACAGAATCTGGTTGAAAGGTACATGAATCTCTGAATGCCTTCTTGGAGTCAAATCCCCCTCTTACCCCTAGCTGCCCAATGTATTAAATAGAATTTGATAATCTTAAAACACCAAGGTATTTTTTTTCAAGATTGGATATCACTGTGTATCTCTAGGTGGCTTGGTTGGCTCTATATCTACCAGGTTGACCTCAACATCATAGAGGTTATTTTGTCTCTGCCTCCTTGAGCCAGGTGGTGGTGGCACACACCTTTAATCCCAGCACTTGGGAGGCAGTGGATCACTGAGTTCAAGCCCAGCCTGGTTCCAGGAGCGAGTTCCAGGACAGGCTCCAATGCAAAAGAAAGAAAAATATATATATAGAGAGACAAAGTCCAAGGCTGTAGTCCAGGCTGGCCTTGAATTCCTGATCTTCCCGCCTCTACCTCCCAAGAGCTGGGGCTGCAGGCCTGTGCCACTAGGTTTGGCTGCAAGTGAGTTCAGACTCTGCTTTGCCCTTCCAGCTTCTGATAGCCCCATCTCCTTTCCAGCTGCTCTGCCCTTGTCTGAGAGGGAGTGCTTCATCTCCCCTCTCCAGTTTTCCTCCACTCCAGCCAGCTGTCTTCCCTACTCCCACTTCTTTCTTATTATTCCTCTGATTAAGCCTCTTCATTAATTTTCAAAATGTGAGTCTACCTGTTTACTAATCCGGCACCCAGCGAGAGGAGCTGTAAACTGCAAGCTCCATTAGTGCATAGGCTGTGCCGTTTCATCTTTACTTTCTAGTGACGTCTGGCACACAGCAGTTACCCTAACTATAGAGATTTGGTGAATGGGTTACGGAATTGTCGCTGCACCAAACTTGGAGTTTTGTTGACTAGTGCATGCTCGAGTATGGTCTTTTCTGATGGAGCTCTCTGACTCCATTATTCAAGTCATGTATATTTGTATTCATTTTTCCTCACTAAACTGAAAACTCTGGGAGGGAAAAGACTGTATCTTACTCATCTTTCCCCTGAGCCAGTGTCTAGGGAGTGTCTGGCATAAAGCGGTTTGTTGGAGGAATGAGCAAATGACATTAGCAAGGAAAATACTAGACTTTTAAAAGTTCCCTGAAGATCAGAAAACAAGCAAACAAAACAAAACAAAACAAATCTTGGAAGCTGGGTTGTAGTGGCACACACCTTTAATCCCAGCACTTGGGAGACAGAGGGAGTCGAGTCTCTGAGTTCGAGGCCAGCCTTGTTTACAGAGTTCCAGGATAGCCACGATTACATAGAGAATCCCTGTCTCGAAAAAAACAAAAACCAAAAAACCAAGCAAACAAAAGTTCCCTGAAGAATGTGGCAGATTGGGAAAAGGAGTTAAGAACAGTGAAAACAGAGACTAGTTATTGTTGGTCTAACCTCCAACGGTACAGACAACAGACAGATGACGGCACCGGATTAGACCTGGGGTCAGTCAGAAAAGGCTCTCCACAGGTAAAATCGGAGACGTTTCACACACAAAAGGGACAGCACGAGAGAGTAAATTAGAAGCTGGTTATGGAGTTCTGGTGAAGTATGGCAAAATATGCAATTCATGACTAAAGCCTGCTTTAAAAGCAGGATCTGTTCAACCCCAGGCCTCAAGTTTCTGCCTTTTTCTTGGCTTGCTAAGCAGGCATGCTCATTCATTCTTGTGTCTTGATATTTCCAGGGCCAGGCCAGTGTGGGGACTTTATGTTCTCTAAACAGTCAAGAAGGAAGTTTCTGTGAAAATAAGCAAACAAACCTGTCCTGTGGGACTGAATGCTTTTGCTAACCCTGGCTCTCCAGGGAAATGAACTTCCCTGTTCCAGTGGTAAGAAGAGAAAGTCAAATGACTTTCCTTAAAAGGTATTGTAGGATAGTCTAGAAAAATTTTGTGAGGTGAATTCAAAGAAATCAAGGATGTATATAGTAGGTAAGGTGTCAGAAACATAACAGATAGAAAAGGCTTCCGAGGTCTGCTCCCCTCCTCAGAGAGGACATGTAAATTAAATATCCATGGCAGACAGTCACTTCTTGGATTCAGACTGCTGCTGACTTTAATAATATGTGAGATGGAACACGTGGATTCTCCCCCATCCTCACTTTGTAGACCAAGCTGGCCTTGAACTCAGAGATCCACCTGCTCTGCCTCTTGAATCCTCGGATTAAAAGCAGGAGCCATCACACCCTACTCTCATAAATACTAGTCTCTAAAAATGTTCCCCATTTCAGGCGTCAACATTTTACACGGCAGAAGGCATATCTGAAGACCGACGGCATCGCTTGAGGCTGAGTTGGCAACTGTATATTAGGATAACCCAGTTTTCAGTGTCCGTTTTCTTAGAACTTTGTGCCCAGCGCTCTGTTTCCTGAGTCCTCCGCCTCTCTACCGTCTGTGGAGGTAAGAACATCTTCATTTTCTGCATGCATTTAGGAGCTGAGTTCGGAGTAGTTGTTTTCTTCTTTCCTACCATACCGCAATGGGAGCGGTTCGGTATAGGGAGGCGTCCAAATCCCGTCTGCTGCCAGAAAGTACTCTCCCTGGCAGCGAACCACTGAAGCCTAAACTGAGATAATTCTTCATCCTCGGGGGCTTCTCAGGTAGTCAGTGTCTCCTCGTGCTGCCCAATCGCTAGGATACGCCTGTGTGTGGGGGGAAAATCACACTGGTTTGGGGTGATGTCACACTGGCTGAGATGACATCTAGCAGCGGGAAACCCGACAGCCTACAGACGCCGGTAAACCACCTCGGAGAGTGCTGAGTAGAGGGGGCCGGAGAATCCGGTCCCCACACACAGTTCACGCTGGCTCCCCACGGAGGCCCACCGGCTCCTGCGGCCCGCAGCACGAAGCAATGATCCCGATCCCGACCGGCCCGCTCCTCCGCACTTCCGCCTCAGTAGGTGTCATGGCGCTAGGAGGCTGAATGGTTCCGGCGAGGCGGGGCCGGCCGGATGAGGGCGGGCGCTCGGGGCTCCACTTGTCGGGTCTGGCGACAACGGCAGCTGCGG